CAATTAAATCCAGATTAGCTCTGCTGTAGGTGCAGAGTCATGAGAGTAGGCTCTGACCCTGCCTGTGCCAGTAGCAGGCACAAAGGAGAGCTCTACAGGGTCACCCTTTCCACACCAGTCAGCACTGGTAATTGCTGCAGAAGCTATAGCACCATGTAAGCACCTGGGCTGCCTTCGGGCATGGCAACTCCAGAGCTGAAGGCGTGAGTAGAACTGTGAGATCCTCTCAGCTAGATGCAACATAATTGATTTCACAGTTTATATATTTTCCTCCACATGGGTCATCTGAGCCTCCTATTTCCCCAAAGCAGCAGTGTGAGTACTTTTATCTTCCCTGTTACCTCCCTAAAAACACTGTGTACGCCTGACTGAAACCTTTGCTTTTATTTACTTAAACATTTGCATCTCTATCTTTGCATCCAGCATGCACTCCAATGAGAACAGAGGCTGTTTATAGAGACCTCACTAGAGATGGACTTACCAGAAAACTCACACCAAGAACTTTTTTCCCCAAACAGTTACAGTTCTGGCCCCAGTGGCACAACTGACAGCAGGGGTTTGTGCCAATGGTCCCATAGACAGGCGACAAAGCACTGCAGACCAAGTGTGCTCTGGACCACATGCTTTACAGTCAGAGCTCTTGATATCTCACCTGACCACCACCTTCAATATTTACAATCCCACATACCTGGGTTTGAACCCTGCCAAAATAATAGGACCGGTATCTCATTGCTTCCCCCACCAGGCTCATAGCACATGTCCCTCAAAGGGTTCCCAACAGAACTCTGGTGATCAACCCAGCACTGATCCCCTCTGCAATCCCTTAGCAAGTCCTCCTGGGCCTGCTGCATGCTTGGCATTGCAGCCAGCATCACCAGCAAAGAGCTGACATTATCCTCACACACCCCAGCATGGTTACAGGGAAACGAATGGCACAGGGTGAAACAGGTCCTTGCCCCTAGCAGCATTACCTTGTGGGATGGTAGTGAGCTCGGTGTACCCTGAGTGCCCCAAGGCTTGCAGAGCCCACTCCTTCCCCTCGCTTTGCTGTTGCCACTCCTGCATCTGGCAGTAATACAGCCCAGCATCATCCCTCTCTACACTTGTCAGTGTCAGGCTGAAGTTGCCAGCAGAGGGGCGGCGGAGGTACAGCCTTCCTGCCAGGCTCTCCTGGGGGTACTCGATGGTGCCGTCGTAGTGGAGGGTGAGCAGGGAACTGTTACCGCCACTCTTCTTCACCTGGAACCAGGTGGCTGAGAGATGGGTGTTAGACAGGTGGGCACCCTGTAGCCAGCAGTGCAGCGTCACCTCCTCACCCTCCCTCGCTGAGATGCTGTGGTTGGTTTTCTCCATCTGCAGTTCATGCTCTGGGGTAGGATACAAGCAGAAAGAGATGTTGCAGTGTTGCACCGTCATAGAAATATTTCTGCCTGCACCCAAAAGCTGATGGAAATGTTATGGAGCAATGTGTGGGGGAATGGGATGGCCTCTTGCAAGAGCCTCTGCAGGACACCCACAGGCCCCTTGCTCCCATGACTCATTCTCCTTGGAATGTCTCCCTCTGCCCCCCATCATCTTCTGCACCCTTTTCACAACCCTCTGCTGTAATACTTCTCACCCCCTCCAAATAAATGATAAAGCATCCTTTGGATCAAAAGCTGTGTAGGAACCTAGAATTCTCTGATCCATTTTATTTAGGGCTACAACCCATAAACCAAGTGAGGCTGAGAGAGGGAAGAACTGAGCCAGTGCTTAATGTGGGAGCAGGTGAACCTTCAGCCTTGTTTCTCAGTAGCAATGTGCTGCAGGGTGAGAAAAACTGAGTATCTGCCTTCAAGGTGCTCAGGAGTACCAGAGAAGGGCAGCTTCTCTATTCACAGCATTGTACAACGAATCAAGTGCACCATGTGTTGGAGGGAAAAGAAAATGCTACAATTTAGTTTGTTATGAAGCATTCAACTTCATCTGCCAGTGGCAAAAACAGCAGGTCAGTTGGTTTGGAATAATGTGGTAAATCTTCCTAATTCCCTGTTTCCCTTTGAGAGGCACTGGCAACTCCTGCATCCCTAAGTGTCAGATCCAACACAGGAGCCATTGCTCCTCCTAAGCTCTGCCAGCTTAGGCGAGGGGCCTGTCATAAATTGATCCAACCTTCTCCAGCAGTGCCTATGGAAGAGAAAACCATCTGCTCACCTGGGAGCTTGAACTCCAGTGTGGTCCTTCCCGATGTTCCCTCTCCAAGTTTGTACCAGCTATCCACCAGCCAGAGCCATTCTTCTACCACACAGTAGTAACTGCCCTGGTCCCCGGGGTCCATGGACAGAATGTGCAGCTGGAATATGTTGCTGGACACCCTCTGGCTCAGGAGCCGGGACATTTTTGCAGGAGACCTGAATTCAGACCCATATTCCAGTATGCTGCTGTAGTCAGCCCTTACGATTTGCAGGGGGATTGCATCTGCCAGAGGACGCAGGAGGTACCAGGTAACAGCAAACTGTGAATTACTCTGGGCAAACACAATCCTGCACTCAATGGTCGTGTCAGCACCGCTGGCAATCTCCACAGAGCTGTCTTTTGTATCTACCTGAAGCTTGCTTTCTAAAATAGAGAAACAAAATAATCATGCCAGCTGCAGCTGCCAATACTGGGATGCTGGCAAAGGGAGGAATAAACCTGTCCTGAGAGAAACCTACCAAAAGAGGAGGGAGGAAGAGTGTGTGCAGAAGACAAAGACCTATTAGGGAATGCTGGAGCAGGGGGTGTGAAGGAAGGAGGGAAGGAGCAAATCCACACACCCTTGTTTGATCAATGGTGGGGAATCCAAGCGGGGTGTTCCTGAGCAGGGAAGTAGCTGAAGAGGTGCCAGGAATGGGGGATAGAGGCAGTTCTCATGTTGGAGCTTGGAGGCAAAGCCTCTGTTTGAACCACGTGTATCCGTCTACCACTGTTTCCATCACCAGGCTCACGCAAAAGTGACAAAACCAGCCCACGGCTTTGGAGACTGAACAAGTGTCTTCTATCAGAGACTACAGAGCCTGGTGGATTTCACAATTTAACAGTTTAACAGTTGCCATCTCAGGTGTTTGCTGAGGTTATTAATCCAACACCACATGACAAATTCGCACACATCTGCTGTGATTATACCCAGCGATTGTTCAACTTAGTGCTGCACAGTTCAGGAGAGGATTCCTATGGTGCTGCCTGCAGCTCTGCCCCCAGCAGTGTACACAATTGCTCCTGATGTGCCTGTGCTGCTCCTGCTTTCAGGGACCCTCTTCCCACAGCACATGACTTGTTACTGACACTTTTCCTTCTCCTCCAGCAGTGAAAAGGCTACAAATCGGTATCTTTAAGGTCTTCTAACCACCTGCATTTCTCCTTAGGGCTCCCCTCCACACTGAGACACCAGCTCTGTCAGATGGAGCCGACAGTCAGGGGAAGGAGCATACATGGGTATCTACCCTTTGGTAAGCAGAAATTACTCAGCACGTGACACCATCATGGTTTTAAGGGGCTGTAGACTGAGTTTCCATTCTTAGCACTTTCCTTGTGTATGAGCTGAGCAGCAGGACACCCTGTGCCACAGAGGCTGGGGACGACCAAGCTCCCTTAAGCTCAGCCCCTGGGTGCTGTTCTGGCAACAGGCTACAGAGGACATACTGAGATGCCCCCTCAGAGTGTCTGAGACCCCTGCCCTTGGCTGCAGGCTGAGCAGAGTCCTCACCCCTGTGGCATTTCCCCAGGGGATGCAACAGCAGCAGGTTATGGAAACAGCTTCTCCCACAGAGGCTGATGGGGAAGAGTGACACTGCAGGAGAAAGCTTACACATTTACCCTTCCTTCAAGCACTTCTTCTCAAAACTCTAGCAATCTACTTCAGAGGCCTTCATGGGCTCTCTTGAGACTACTCAATGCAAAATATCCCAACTGATGGCTCCTGACAACCCTGTATATTGCCTCTGCCTCTATGTCAAATTTGCCAACAAAATCTCCCTGCTCACATCCACTTAGGCTGCTCTTTTCTCTTTGTACCCTATTTCTCTTTCTTCCCTTTGCAGACAGAAACATTTTCACCAAAAGGTTGACAGTTTCCTCCTCAGAGGGACTTGGACAAGTCGGTGAACTGCCTGGCAAATGGGAGTGGGGAGGCATCTTGCCCGACCTGACACCTGCTGGGGCATAAAATGCTCCAGAGAAGGAAAAGCTACTTAGAGCTCAGAGAGGAGCCACAGAAACCACTACCTTGGGCACTTGATTTTGATGAGCAAAATTGCTCTTACACTCTTGGAGATCACCTCAAGAAAAAGCAGAGCACTTGCTGCAAAGCCTCTTTATTTCAGCTTCAGGTCTCCTCTCGCTACTGCTAAAGATCAATTACTGAAAGGGCAGAGCAGCTGCCTGCCCTTTCTTTTCTCACACGAAGCCACGGTGCTGTTTTCCCTTTCATTTCCAATTTAATTAACCACGCCGTGCACCTCGCTGCCTGCCTCCCTGTGAACCCTGCCAATGCCATGCTTTGTGCCCAGCCCTGGAGCAGCAGAGCATGCAGAAGGGCATGGCCGGTGCAGCACTCCGTGTGGGCAGCTGGCCAGAGGAACTGTAGGTGAAAAGCCCTGAGGCTCACTCCAGAGACAGGGAAGCCACAGAGAGCAGTGTTACTGAGAGGCTGATGGGAGCATGTGCCTGCCCAGGGCACTAATTACGGGACCTGACCAAGAATCAGATGCTGAACTACCTAAGCATCTGTCCTCCTTCCCCTTCTGTTAGGACTTTTCAAATATGTCTCTCCCACCTGAAGCTGATTCACAGACCAGATTCACAGCAGCATGTAAACTCCTAAAGCACCAACTGCCACCAGGTAGTAAACAAAGTGCTGAAGCAAAAGTCAAGAACTCCAGTGTCTCTGCAGGCTCTAGCTATGAGATTTTATATGTGAAGAAACAGGCTGGTGATTTTCATGATTTGCAGCTTCATTTTCTGCAGCTTTGCCTCAACCTATTACTGCTAGAATCTGCTTCCTTGCCAGACTTCTCTACCTTCTCAAACATCCTTCACTGGCTCATGCTGCCTTTCCAAGAGGTGGTACTAGAGCCAGCAGCAGTCGCCCACTGTGCATCACCCTCTCCCAGTTCCAACCATCTTTACAGTGTTGCAGTATCCAGCAACAGCTGCAATATGTTTGGAGCCAAATATCGTGGTATCTTCCAGCTCTGCCACTACTATCTCCTCTGTTTAGACACTCTACAATTACACCTGTTCATCTTAATGTCATTAGGAATAGAGATGTGTGCTCATAGATGCTGTTTACTGTCACCCCTAGCCTCAGTACCACCCTGCAGCCTTGCTGCCCCTGCTGGCTGTAGGTCAGGTGTTACATGGAACACCTCAGCACTCGGCCACAGGGCTGAGGAAAAAGAGTAGCAGTGGAACAGGAGGAAGAGCACCATAGAAATGAGCCTGAACAGGGAAGGAAATGTATTAGCTTATGCTACAGCAAATCCATTAGGTAGAAAAACATGGAAAATACATAATTTCAGTTCACTGGGCTGTGATCCCAAAAATCCAAGGATCGGAAGGAAAAGAACCTAACACATGAAAAAAGAGCAAGAACTCTACTTTCCTGTCAGAACAGACATGAGGGCAAAAAATAAACCAAGTAGTATTCCACACCTGCCTCCACAAGCTCAGAGGTTTTGGCTAGGACAAACCCTTCAATTACTCCAGCAGCCCCAGTTGTGAGCAGGGCAAACTGACACCGCCGTGCTACCAGGGATGGCAGGGAGCAAGTGCATGGTGGGCTGACTGTGGGGCTGAGGTCTGTTTGCAACATCTCTCTTCCGTAAGAGGATGAGGCTCCCTGCATGATGCTGGCAGGCACGCTGGCAGCACAGACCCTGCCTGCAGAGGTGGCCATAAAAGGGAACCCTGGGCAGGCCCCTGCGCTGCGCATCCCAGTCATACTGGGGAGGAGATACCTCCCCACAGAGCCCCTGGCACCTTGTGTCTCAGTGCTGGCTCCCAGCCACAGAGAGCCCTGGCACTTTCTCAGCACACCTCGAATGCACTGGGGGAAGCTCAGGGAACACAGACATCCCAGCAGCAGCTTAGGGGCCAGTCTCTCTCCATTGCCCTCCAGAAGCCCATACATTGGGGAGTACCTTGCACCCCCAACATTCTATAGGGCTTCTTGGGGGAGACACGTTCTTTCCAGACACAAGGCTTAAAATACTAGTGGGAAGGCTGATCCCTATATGTTTGGCATAACCTGTAAACAAAATAGATACTGCTACTTGCCAACACCTAATTTGCCTCCAAGACTGTTGTCAGGTGCTGAGGAAGCAACAGAACAGGCAGCACCTTCTTGTGTGGCCCTGGGAGGTGACCCCAGCGGGGACACCTCAGATATCAATGGTCCTGGCTGCCTCTGGTCATGTTTGATGGTTTTAAAGTTGCAGAAAGAGAGACTTCTGCTGAAGGCATTGCTTACCTGGCAGCATCACCTTTATCCCCACAACATTGGACCTGGTGATGGCCGCTGGCTGCCCCACAGGCAGGATGTTCCTCCTCCAGACCTCCACCTCACACTGGTACGTCCCCTCGTTGGCAGTCGTGGCACTGTGGATGTGCAGGCTGAAGGAGGTGGTGGACTTCATCAGCTGGGCTTTCCTCTGAAAGTGTTGCTGTCCTGCCCCCCAGGCCATGGTGCCATTGGGAAAGACCTGGACTAGCTCTTGGTGGGGTCCAGTAGGTGGGCTGGGTTGGAAGATCCACTGCACAGACACTGGCACCTCCTCAAGGGTGTAGTTGGCACTCACTTGGCAGATGAGTTCAAAACTCTGCCCAAATCTGACAGCGGCAATTCGGCTTCTCAGTGTGGCGTGCAGACCAGGACCTGCTCAGGAGGAGAGAGCCTTGGTCACCGGGACAGAAATCCTGCCCTGTGCCACCTAATTGCCACCTTTCCCATGCAATTCTGTCCCCACTGTCCCACCCACTGCAGCCCTTTGGCAGCCAGAAGTCCTGCTGCTCCTCTGCTGGTGCCACTCTCTGCTTAGTTGTATTGTGCTCATCCAGCTCCATGTGATCCTTGGCCCCCCTGCTACTTCACCCCATCTCTCCCACCCCATCTCCCAGACAACCCACTCTTCCAGGGTCCCCAGTCCCACACCATGGCAAAGAGCCAGGGATCCTTTGCTGATGCAGCTGTCCTGTTTGCTGCTTTCTTCCACCCTCCACAAAAGCTGAATGACTCCTGTGGCCTGACTGGTGCTCTCCAGCACCCACCCCAGCAACAAGAAAGGAAAACCACACTAAATGACACCCAAAAGCTACCTCTTCATAAAGGCACCCATTCTGGCAATCAAAAGAAGAAAGGATGTGGGCTTTGCACTCCAGGGAGGTTAACAGCTCTGTGCTCAGACAAGAGGGAAGGAGAAGCAATCAGATATCAGCACCAGGGGTGTATCTCTGACAAAGACCACCAGACAACTCAGCAAGTGCCTGTGTTGAGCTTAATTACTGTAAGTAATTATACTGCTAGAACAGATATTTTGTATTTCAAGGAGACAGTCAGAAAGACCTGCTGAGCAAGCCATTGCCATTCAGGTCTTCAGGCATTTTAGCTGTGTCCCACTTTTCTCTCCAAAAACACCTCATGGTAGAAATGGGGAAACTGAAGCACTCCAAGGCCAAGTGATCAGCCCTAGGTCATCCTGCAGCAGTAGCAGAGCTTAGTGCACAACAGGGCCTCTGTCCTACTGATGTATGTCTACCCACTTCTCCAGTCTTGCCTCCAACCCAGAAACAGCGGTGACCCAACTTACCCATGGAGTTGACTGCCACTGTTGTCTCCCCCTCCTCCCTCCAGCTCTGGCTTTGGGACCACTCTGTTGCTTCACACCTGTACTGCCCACCATCATCCTCATCCAATGTGTTTGGGATCACCAGGGTGAAAGTGCCAGAGCTTGCTTTCTCCAGCCGAAGGCTCCCCCGTGTCCTGCTGTCCTGGTAGGTCCTGCCCAGGTTCAGGGTGCCATCCTGCTCCATGGTGGCCACCAGCACCCTGGGACCTGGGTGCTGTGGTGGCAGGTGCCACCAACTCACAGACACAGGGCCAGTCGCTCCTTGCACCTCACAATGGAGGATCAAGGCATCTCCCACCACGACCTGTGGTGTGCTGGTGGACACAGACAGGTGCATGCGATTCTCTGCAAACAACAGTTACTGTGTGAGTGGGGATGTTGCTGTGCTCCTCAGAGAAAACCAGAGATACTGTGGCATTAAATGGAAAGACTAGATAAATCTTGATACTGGAAGAGGAAAGGAATTGGGGAATTGTCTGAAGTGTTCAACCAGCCTTTTCCTATAAATTTGGTGAAGGTTTTGTGGTTGGGTTTTGGTGATTTTTTTCTGGTTTCTGTCTTTCTTGGGACATGGCTACAAAGAAATACATAAGAAATCAAGTCCCAGCAGGCAGCTCTTGCTACATCAGAATAGTCAATTGTCTAACAATGACAAGGAAACCAAGGGTCTCCTACACACCTTTCTTAAAGTAGTTTCTCACAAGTCATCCATCCAAAACAGGGAAAACACCCTGATAGAAATGGCAGTGACCCTCCCTCCCTTCAGAAGTACCTGTTCTGCTGGGTCATCCTGTGATCCTCAGGAGCAACAACAGGTGTTGCTCACAATTTTCGGTACCAAAGACACAGGAAGACCTAGACTCTGCAGAACTTACTGCAAAGAGTCTGAGGCAGAGTATACACATTTCATGCTGACTGAGTTTACACTTACTTTGTTGACAGCTCCTGTATCTGTCATGCTCATGTTTGCCCAAGCAAGCGCTTTTCCCATTATCTACCAAAATCTATGGCACATTTGCGCTCTTTCTGCAAAGAGCAGGTGTGTTGCCCCCATCAAGATGAGGCCAATCTTGAAGCACTCCCTAGTCAAGGATCCTGCAGACTTTACTCAGAAGAGCAGCCACTAGGATTTACTAACCTATCAGCTTCACATTGACTTGGATGTCTGATGACATATTGGTTTGGGTGCTGTAAAAGTCTCCAGAAGTCTTCATTTCCGACACGGAGCAGCGGTATATACCATTGTCCTTCAGTCCCACCTCATAGATGTTGAGGACATAAACTGTGTTGCTTGGCTTGAACGCTTGGAGCTGCCCCAGCTTGGCTCTCTTCTCGTATTCTTCCTCCCAAACCAATACCCCATGCGGGTCAATCCTGGCCACTTCCACACTGCCAAAGAACCAAGTCACTTGGAAGTGCCTGCTGCTGCTCTTCTGGGCTTCCACTGTGCAAGTTAACTTCAAGGTATCCCCTTCAGAAAGGGAGCTCTCAGCAGCAGCGATGGCTACAGAAAGGTCTCTGCCTGTGGGCAATCAAAAGCAAAGAGGGTACTGGGTGGCTCTGCCCATGCTTCCCTCCCACCTGGCAGTACCAATAGCCTTGCAGAGAGCAACAGGAGGGAGTTCTCTATTGAAACATTTTCTTTCATTAGAAAATTAATCAGGATGGAAAACTTTGCCCATGGGGAGACAGCAACCCTGGAGATGGTTGCCAGGTCTGAGCATCAAGCAGCAGTCGCTGGTGGAGGAAGTGCCAGAGCCCTGAGGAGCTGAGCTCCCTTCTTCAGAGCAGGTAATCCCCCCAGAGCAGAGAACACATTGCGATAGCCTCAGGCCACAGCCACCCCCTGCTCAGCTCAGGGCATCCAAACTGAGGGCTGCCATAACTCAGAGGCATCATTTTTTGCAGGGAGCTACTCCATCTCACCTGCTGGAGCTGTTTTGCATCATGTAACACCTATCCCTTAAGCAAGAAAGGGGCACAAAGGGACTTTATCACACAGTGGTGGTTTTAACTCTGCTGCCTGTGGTGGGAAATGGTGCGAGAAGGGCTAGCATCCAAGCTGCTGGTCTGAATCTGATGTGGCTGGTCCCACATGGTAAAGCCCTCGCTGGCTGCTGTGGGTTGTGGGCAAGAGATGCTCTCTAAATTGGAAAGGATTTGGGTTAGTTCCTACAGAAAGGAGAAAGGTCAAGACTTGTCACAGCATGGGGAAGTAGGAGGGAAGCAAGATGAGGTGGAGGTCATCTGGTCCCTGTCCTACTCACCACACCAACTAGCAATAGGTGCTGAGCAAAGAGGGCAGTGACAGGGGGAGCACAAATTCATCTTCCCCTTGGCAGATCCTCTTGGCAGGGCAGCCATGCCTGCCGTAAGGACCCTGTGTCTGAGTCCTATGATACAATTCACCTTCCTCTCAGGGCATTCAAAGCCTCTAGGGCTAATGCTCCCTGGTTCCTGGCATCAGCCTGGCTGGAGAGTGGCTACAGGCGGAGACCCACAGGGTGCCCCAAAACCCTCTTCCATAACCCAAGCAGTGGCAAGGCCAAAAACCAGAAGGTAGGACTGAGCCCAGATTCCCTGGGAAGACAACCGGACTCACACCACTCACTTTTTGGATCACCATGGTGCCCCACAATTATGAAAACAAGGGCAAGGCTACATTGAAGTAAAACAGAGCAGCTCCCAGACCACAACTGAAAGGGCTCAAGTAATTTTTAGAAAGCAGAGTACCCTGTGAATTTAAACACTGGTTCATAAACAGTTTTCAAACAGGAATCCCAGCTGCTGCAGATATGTTTGGCATTCCTAAATATTTGCTGGAGAGTTTATAGAAACTGATGGAGCAGTTAGCCACAGTCAGAGTGGTCGCTGGCTCACAGTGTGATGGGGCACCCAGTCCTGCAGCCTGGGCTCCCCCACTGGGTGCTGGAGGGACACCTCAGCCCTGCAAATTTGATGGAGGGCTCATACACCTTCTGCTGTTCCTCCATGGTGATACCAGCAGCTCTAATGCAGACACAATAATGCCCTCTTACCACCATTGCCTCGCTTCTACGCTTAATGGCTACCACACAGCAAATACTAAACTCTGACAAGGTTTCTCTGTTTCTAAATGATCCTGTGGCACTGGCATCTGAAGCCACACATTGTCTCTTCAACAAGCAGATACAGGGAAGTGCACTGACTGTCGTGACTTGCCAGGCAGCAGCAGACATGGAAAGCCTTTGCTGCAAACAGTGCACAATAAGGAGAATAAAGCTTTACCAGTCAGGCAGGTTTCGGGAAATAGACTCTGACAAGGGGAGACCACACTTCCCTCCCCCTGATACCTTGCTCCCCGCTGAGCTGCACACTCAGGGTGCTTGGTCCTTACCCATTTTTCTTTGGTTTCCTGCTCTGACTCACCATCCTCCTATGAGACATAGGTTCCTCTCACCACCCCAGCTCTGTAGCCTCATCCATCCGCCCTGAGGCACGGGGACAGGGTACACCATCTCCCCAGGCAGGTTTTCAGTGGGAGACTTGCTCCCATTTCACTGTATGTCCTTCAACTTATTGCATATGTTGAAGGACATCAACTAAACACAGCCATGTCTTGGCTATTTTAAGGTAAAACTTACTGGTGAGAAAGAGATTTTTCCCTTCCTCTGGGCACAGCTACTCGTATGCATCTGCAGGTAGAGCAGGGTGAGGGGCCACAGTCAGCAAAGAGCTTGTGGTAGGAGGGTTGGCAGGCAGGGTGCTCAGAGGAATGGCCTAACAAACAGCAACACCAGTTGCTCTGGAAACTAGCAGACTGGTGACAGCATGTACTACAGGCCACCTCCAACAGACACTAGAGCTGTGCAGCACATGCAGTACATCCCCATGTTCCTCTATGCCTGTGGCTGAGGCACTGTGACGAGGTGCTGACTGTGGTGTACTATTTTAAGGCCACGAGACCCTTGAGGCAGTCTAACAATGCAGTTTTCCCATGCACTGGAGCTTAACTCTGCAAAGGAGCCAGGCTGCTGCAGGCACATGCTGCTCTCTCTGCTAACACCTCACATGGGTCTGCAAAGTTGCATGATTGCTGCCAACATCGGAGATTTGACTGCATGAACAGCCAAAATGTGAAGCTCCAACAGCTCCTGAACCAGCGCCGCCATGGCCCTGAGCCAAGGCCAGCTCATCCCCTCAGAGACTAGCAAAGATGGCCAGACCCATTAGCAGATCTCTGGGCTGTGATGGAGGCAAGTGAAGGGCCACTGAAGCCTGGCTATAGAGTCTTGAATGAACAAGGGAGTTGGAGCCAGCACATGAGTTTGCAAGGGTCTTACCCTGGCTCATGACTTCCAGCGACGTCCTCTCTGTTTGCTTGCGGGAGATGTCCTTCCACATCTCATCAGGATCCTCAATCCACTCGGCTGCCTCGCAGTACAGCTGCCCCTGGTCAGATGGCTTCACCCCCGCAATGAAAAGCTTGTATGTGGTGTCCCCAACCTTGTGTAGCTGCACATCCCCCACCAGAAACCTGTGATCATAAGAGGGCCCTGGCCTCAGGACGAAGTCCTTGGAGAGGATGAGGACCTCCTCAGCACGGTGCTCTCCTGCTCCCTGAAGATGGTACCAGCCAACAGAGAGATGTGTGTGCTGGGTGGTGGACTTGGACACCTCGCAAGTGAGCTCCACTGCATCCCCTTCAGAGTGGGTAAGGACCTGGGGTGCCATGGAAGCTGAGAGGGTGTCTGCAATCACTGAGCATGGGGGAGAAACACAAAATCATAGAATATGGTGAGTTGAAAGAGATGTACAGGAATTGCTGAGTCCAGCTCCTGGCCCTGCATAGGGCAACCCCCAAGAAACAGCAGCCAGGCCCAAAGGGATATGATGGTATATGAGAAATATCTTTTGCAGCTGAATGACAAGGCTTCCATCAGCTTATGCCAAAGTGTAATGTGGCTAAACCCTCAGCAGGGAAGAAAGAACAATGAATCTCTTTGCAGTACCCTCTTCAGGCAAACTACAGTCAGTATTAATTAGGCAACCCCAAGGAGATTAAAATGCATCCTCTCACTATCCCAACTACAGACTGGTGCAACACCCAGATAAAGGAGAAGACAGGGCTGAACACCAAGTATAAGTATCATACCATCATGTAGACTAGGTGGGCTCACAGTAGGGCCTTCCCTCTCCCAGTGCTCTTCAAGAGCTGCTGCCTCCCACCATCTGTGGGTATCCCACTTTGGTCAAGTCCCACACCCTGACCTGAGGACATCAACAGCTAAGACATAGAGGTTGAAAACTCCTGCCCTCCTAAGCATTTAGCCATGAAATGCTGTGTCTGTGTCAGGCACTAAGTTAGTCAGATGATGGGAGACTAGAGGCTTCCTCTCCCTTCCCTTGCCCTGGCTGGGAAGCAATAGCCAGAGTAACCTGCAAGGGAACATCTGAACATCCCTACCTTAGCCACCCAGGGGTACAACAGCAATTCCACACTGGAGAGAGAAAGAAAGTTTGTGTACACCAGTCCTATTAATGACCCCTTCCCTCAGCTGCCCGTCTGACCCGAGATGAGCACTTCTCCCCAGTACAAAGTTGAGAGCAGTAGAAACCTGCCTGTACTCCCTGTCCAGCAGGAAGCAGGGCTCTCTTTCAGGACCCACCTGAGAGGTTCGTCTTGGCGCTGTAACTCCCGAAGTACC